GTCGTTTGTTTTTTCCCCCCTAGGCATGTAATATTTTTTCCTCTGGAATGAAATTTGTATATTTGGTTTGGCTTGTGCTAATCTGCAAAACAGATAAATAAATAAGGAGGTAATCCCATTCATCACTGAAGACTTTCAAACCTTTTAAGAAGTGTGGTGGTAAACAATTTTTTTTTCCAGTGTTGAAATGTTCTGGTAACAGTAACGCTCTGAATACAGCTTAAACTTCCTCTCTTCCCAGCCACATGTCTTTGCTCCCTAAACCAAAGACCTTACTACTGTCTCTAGCAGATAAAGAACATGGATTGCAAACTGCCTGATCAGCTTCTAACCCTGCACAGGCTTCCCCAGCCCTTTGGCCAAACTGACAGGAGTGTTTCCATGAAAGGCACTTCCAAAGTCAGTGGGGATTACTGCAAAGATCCGAGGGAAGCGTGCCTGTGGTTCTGCTCACGCCACAGCCCTGCAGTGGAAGGTGCAGTTGCCATCCCTCCGACACAGTGAGCTGTGCTGGGAGTGCTGTCACAGCAGCCTTGGACTGGCCTTGGGGCACAAACCATGGCTTGGAAGGTTCCTCTGAGCAGGCAACTGCCTCCAGCTGCGTCTCAGCCTTCTGCCAGGAGACTTAACCCCCACTGCCCTTGATGTGTCACACTTCCCTCTGCCTCCCAGAACACTGTTTTTTCCTGAAGGCACCACAGACCCTACACTGTTGTCTTCCTTCAGGAATGGATCTGCAGTGCTGCTGGTGCTGGATGGTAACTGCATGTGGGAGAAGTTTATTTTGCGCTTGAAGTAGCCTGTATTTGTAGGTCATCTTAGGAGGGTTGCTGCTTCAGAACCCTGAACTTTTCTGGATTATGTGAAGACTTAACATTATACAGAGACTAAAAAAAAAAAGGTTAGCTAGTGACTAGGATGACATTAATAATTCAGCCCATTGAAATGAAAGATGAAAATCAGACAGGCAATAAGTTAATGCTTATGTTCTGCTGACCATACACGTTTCAGTTTGAAATGCTTTCTCATCCACTGGCAAAAATGCTAATGGCTGGAGTAACCCTGTGGTCCAGCTGCCCTTCTTTCACTTTGGCAACCACTGGGGGTTGGTTTATCTGTCTGTTTAAGAGTATGTAGAAAATGGTATTTGTTTCGCATATGCCATTAGAAATAAACTGCATTTGCACTTCTAATTTTTCTTTTTCATTCTAGTCCTCCCTTCTGATATCCTGAATTAACCTCTCATTCCCTGTTTTTAAAAGGATGTTGGCTTTTTTTTTTTTTTGCTATTTCCTTCTCTTTCTTTTTTCCTTTTTCTTTCTTTTCATATCCATTTTTCTTTTTTTCTTCTTCTCTTGGTTTGTCTTTCCTTTTTTCCTATTTTCCCTTTTTTATTTTCACTTATCTTTTTGCCTGTTTCCATTTTTATTTCTTATTTTTCCCTTTTGTCCTTTCCTCTTTTTTATCTTTTTCCTTTTTTCCTTTTTTTTTTTTTTTTCCTTATCCCTTTATCCTCTCTGGTAAGTGGTGCAAAGTCTTTGGCCAGCTGGGGACCAGGTAGTCTGTTGTAGAGACACTGAAAGGTTCTTCTGCATCCTGGCATGTGTCTGGAACCACAGCCTGTGGATGGAGAACTGGAGGCTGAAGCAGCTCCAGGGTTCTGCTGGTGAGCTGGGTCCTGCAAAGGGCTGTAGGTGGGTTACAGGCACCCTACAGACCCTGGCTCAGGGCTCTGCTCTCAGGTCTTGGTGTGGATAATGATTTTTCTTTTACGGTCCTGAGGGCAGGTTGAAGCAATACAGATCCAATTTCTCCCATCCCAGACCTGTAGCAACAGTCATAAATTCTGTGGTTAAAATTATCCAGAACTCTCAGTTTTATCTCTGTCTGTGCATGTAAAGCTAAGCAGAGACAGTGATTCAGATTAAATTCTTTCTTGTGTTGTCACATACTTAGCTAGGGAATCACCTTTTTCTCTTTTGACATCTTGTTTTGCTGCTGTGTAGAGTGAGAAGCAATTTGGTGACTTTGCAGTCACTAAAGAAATGATGACTGCAGGAACGTGAGAGAACGAGTTTAGGAAGAACTAGCACTGCTGGGGGAAACTATGATGGCCCTTAATTGCATTTATCTGTAGTGGCAGATAACAGTCTGTCCTTTAGCATCTTTTATGGTTCCAAGTGCTCCTGCAACCCCAGCCTTACCCCCATGACCATTGTGGAAATGGCCATTTCCCTGCCAGAAAGGAAGGGAGTGCTGCTGATTTGGATATAGAGGGAACTACTCTTACTTATTCCATCCCACATATGCTTCTTAAATGCACCAGAATCTGTGATGTTTTTCCAACATTGCCTTGGCAAAGGGGAAAGGTGAGGACTTGTGGCTTTTGGACACGTGGTTGCAAAGCTCCACAGGTCAGAGTGTTTGTCAGGGTAAGGAAGGTGGGGAGAAAGAGGGCAGTGTGGTCTGAGCTGCAGCTTACAGCACCTTCATAAAATGGTCTTCTCTGGGGGACAGCTTGCCTGTCACTCCTTGGAGAACATGAGAATGAGTTACTTCCTCCCAAACTGAGCATCTGTAGTGTTTCTTCCGTGGCTTTGTCCCTTTTGTCTTATAAGCAGTGAAGAGAAAACAGATTTCATAATTGACTGAGCCCCAGTTTTTGCTTTAGTTTGAGTATAATTTCCCAGCGCACACTGATACCGTGTGCTTAGTTTTTCATACATGCTCAGTTCTGAATACAATATTCTGAAGAACTGACTAACATCAAAGATGTTTCCAAAATCAATATTTGTATAACATACCAGTGGAATTCTGCTGAAATGGTGCTGGCTTGTATGGCTTTGGATATGCACAGTTTAGAATCACCAAATAGCATGCAAGGTGAAGAATTGCAACTGAAAACTAAACATGCTGTGGAAGGTGTTATATTTAATAGAAATGTGACTGTTTCAACATCACTATTATACTGCAAATGTCTGAAGTAAAATGAAAAAGAGAGTGATCAGTAACAAGTTACTTGTAACTCCAGCGTCACATTCCATAGATTACCTTTCTTGAATTGGAAGCATATGAGTCTCATCAGATAAAGCACAATGAATTTGATGTGCCCTAATTCAAATCATAATGAACTTTATTCTACATCACAGTGATATGAAAAGTTTGATACCCTTGGCAGCCTTCTGTTTACAACAGGTTTCCACAGAGGAACAAGCAGAGCACAAACACTAACTGGCAGCTGGCTCTTCCACTACCGAGAAATAACTGCACACTTCTGGAGCAGTGAACTAGCAAGGAGTGGTGCCTTAACTTGTAACCACTGAGGATGTAGCTATCTAATTTATTCCTATGGATTTTGGTTACTGCAAAGCATCTTTTACATGTAGTTTTACCTGACTGTTTTTACTGCTAATGGGGAAGGTCTCTGTTCCCTATTCCTCACCACTGGCTTGGTGTCAGAGCAATCAGGACCTTGAAAGTGGTTATCACCACTTTAGAGGAATGGGAAAATGCAAAGACAGGAGACATCAATCATCATCACAAGTCAAATTCATTAAAGAGGAAGAGCTGTTTTAAATGAAGACTTTCATGCCAAAAGGGCAATAACAGGTAAAAGCATTCATGTAATTTATTCAGAGAATTTTGTGATAACTGTCAAGATATTCAACAGCTTTCTCTCATTATCATTTGCTTCATGTACCTTGACTTGGCAAAGCCTTTAGGAAGATATTTAATCAGAAGTATGCAAATGGTCCTGCTAACTTCAACAGGAAATCAGCACTTAGGAATAGCAAATCTTAAATATTGTCTTAAATGTTGAGACAGATTGGTACTATGATGAGTTATGCAGTCTTCTTTTTTTCTTTTTTTTTTTTCCCTGCAGTGCAGCTAGAGAATTTTTCTGCAAGTTTTCAAATATTCCCTTAGCAAGGCTGTGCAAATCATTCTACAGGAGCTGCTGCTGGGTGACCTGAACAAAAAATGTTTCTGCTTCCATATTAAAACATAAATCCTAGGAAGTTAGCAAAGATTTTTTTGTTCGAATGAAACTTTTCATTCCCCACTAAATGTTTTTTTTTTTTTTAATGGAATGTGCTGAACCTGGTCCCAAAATAACACTTTAAATTAAAAATTGAAGTGCTGCACTTGGAAAATGTCATACTGTATATTTTTTCTGACATACCTATTGCACAATATAAGTTTCAGAGGTTTTGGTTTCTCCAAACTGCCTTCCACAGAGAATGAACTATTTATGAGAAAAAAGAGTTTGGCTTTCCTTGCTTTTCCATTATTTTGTCAATGGAGCTGGTCAAATGTTGCAAACACTTAGCAAATGCCTTTGTTTCCTATCCATCCTGATGGAAAAGGGCTTTTCTTTCAGTAGGAGCATACAAGGTAGACACCCTAACCCTGGTCATATGTACTGAGAGTAATTTGTGACTCGAACTGTGTTTTAACTTTCCATAAATTGAAGACTTGGCGAAAGAGACTGAAGGATTACATTCAAATAGCCTATTTTCTACCTCAGTTTTTGGACATCTGTGACTGGCCATAGACCTTCAGAAACGTTTATCAGGAAAAATATTCTACAGTGGAATTTAGGGGAAACTTAGACAACCTGAAGGTGGGCTTAAAGTGTCTTTACCTCTGTATTGGAAACAGTTACCTACAACACGTGTAGTGAAACAACTTGCCCAAAGTCACACCGTGAGAGAGGTGGAGAAGTGAAGAGCAGAAGCTGTTGTCCACGCTCCTCCCTGTTTGCCCTGTGCAGGGCTTTCCCTGGATTTGTTGCAGCTTGCTGGGGAAATACAGTCAGTTCTCTGGGTTTGCTTGTGCCCGTTCCTTTGCCTTTAGCAGAGTGCAGCATGTGGGCCTGCAGAGCTGCAAGTGCTTCAGTCTGTTCATTTCAGATATCCCAGTGATCACGTTTTTGATTGTGGAACTGTGGCAATGTTCTGAAATCACATGTGTGCCTTGTCTTTCATTATATCCATTAGGTTCAGGATGCCTAGAGACAAATGATATGGAAAAAGGCCTCCATGACAGGTCCCTACTGGCACTGACTGTACAAGCAGGAGGACACCTAGGCAGAAGGTAAGAAAAGCCTCTTTTAATTTTTTAGCTTCACTGATGTAAAACCTAATGAGGTGATTTTAATTTATTTGGCTACCAGCAATGGTATTTAAATGAAGCACATAATTTGTTAAATACTAACAAATATGCTTGAGGCTGTAAAGCTAATGTAATTTTTTGCTTCACTGGGAGCCTCAGAGGCGTTTGATTTCCCTTTGCCCAAACTTCAACTTCATCTGTAAGCAGACCATACTAGCAGGTTTGATCAAGCATTTCTCTTTGTCATGTTTTAAAATATGGCATTTTAATTCCTTCTTTAGCCCACTGGACCCTTCCAAAGCCCTTGCTGCCTGTCCATCTGCCATTTCCAGTGTTGGTCCGTGCAGGAACACCGAGCAAACCGTGCTGTCTGCTCCGCTCTTGTTCCATTGCCCGTGTTGTCCTTGTGTATAATTTTGCTGCTTCGTTCGTTTCTCACATGGTGTTCAGTTCCTGACAACTCTAAAAACCTCCTCTAATCATTTTGGCAAACAGAAGGCTACAGATTTTAGGGCCTCACCACAGCTTTCACGGCGAGTACTTATATGCATCCTGATCTATAAATTTTCCACCTCCTTTCTCAGCCTTCACCCTGTAATTTGTGGCACAGAGCAGCAGCATGGAGTCCTCTGGAAGCATCACAAGCTAAATGCACACACCATGTCACGCTTACAACCTTGCTCATGGAAGAGCATGGTGTGGGTGAATACATAAAGGGTTCTATGTGGAATTTATTGTTTCAGTGTATTTCATAAAGGTTGTGTGGTTATTTTAGGGGGGGAGGAAAGGGAGTATTTCTGGTTATTTTCCAGACAGAATGATGAGTGAAGCTCCAGAGAACTATTTTAACCATATGATACACATAAAACTGGACTAGGAGGTACTTTGAATGATAGGTGGTTTTTTTATTTGTTTTTTTTGTGAAAATTCTTTCATTGTTAAGCCACATAAATATTGGGAACTTTGTAATGACTGTAGTTGCAGAGATTTTGATGGACATTTTAATATCAAAGTAAATTGCTATTAGAAGGAAAACTTAAAATGCTTTCTAGCTATAGAACGCTGATATGAAGAAGGTGCATTTGGGGAGATACTGGGAATGGTCGTTGTACAGCAAGACCAGACTTAAAAGAGGAAAGAAATCTTGATTGTAATAACTCCGTTCAGTAACGGTAAAAAGACAACACTAAAAATTTTCAATTAATATACAGAGTTAATACAATGTTCATGCGGGAACATTTTGCCAGGAAAAAAGGAAATATTCTTTTATTTCAGATAGGGGGAGGAAAAGCACTACTTGACTCGCAAATCTTCTGGAAGAACACTTATGTTCTCCGTCAAATATATGTAAATTAAACCGTATTTTAAATCTTTTCACCGGTCCTGCTGGATGGAACATGTCTCAAGGGCAATCCAAGGAAGGAGAACATTTGATAAGCACACGTAGCTCCGGGCAAAGCTCTGTGCATTCCCACGGAGCTGTGATGCCAGTGAGCTCTCTGCCATGCCACACACTTTTTCCTTCTCCTTCGGGCTCTGAATCAAATCCTTTTGAAGTCAGTGGAGCTCTCCCTGCAGACTTCAAAGGGCTGTGGATCAAGCGCTGTAGAGGAAGTGCAGTTCAGGAAGTGCTGATTTGAGCTTCACTTCCTTTTGCTTTCCTTTTCCCTTACTTCCCTTAATTTCAGAAAGGAACATACTATATTCCATCTGTTCTCAAACGGTCCTGGGCTGTGAGCCACCAGAGCCTGGCACTGTGTCAGAGGGCTGTCAGAACAGGAAGGAGCACAGTTGTTCTGTTCTCCTGGCTCCTTTAGTGTCTGACTCCTTCCACCAGAGCTTCTTTTCCTTCCTCATGATGTGGTGCAGTGGAAGAAAGTATCTGGCATCCTAATAATATTAGTTTTATGGTATTCTAGTTTTCAACTGTGAGATGAACATCAGATGCTTACATGATCTCTCTACCCACACACAATTTGTGTTCGTGTGTGCATATAAATTTATTCTATACCATTGCTGTTACAAATTTGTTCAGGACTTAAAAATTCTGTGGGTGGGTATCTACGTGAGAGAGACAGAAAGAGATGATCATGCTACAGGGATAACATTATTGCTTAGCTCCTTTTGCATCTAATGGAAGTCCAAAAGACTACCTGGAATCAAGTTGCTGAAAATTGGATCAATTTTGGAGGCAAGACAATCCACTTAAAACTGTTCCTTCTGCATGCATGTTATTTTTTTTTTTCCAGGCAGGTGTCCAGCTCCATGCCCTTTCCTCTCTCTTCTCTTCCCTTACCTTTCTGAGCACAGGAGACCCTTAACAGTGCTTGCATTGGGTCAGGGCAAGTTGCAGTAGCAGTGATTTAGGGATTAAATCTGATGAGGGGGAACTTGAAGCAGGGCCAACCTTTTCCAAAGGACAGTGCAGGAAGTTGGATTTGACTTGTCAAACTATGCAACAGTGGTTTTCTGGAAACAGCATCTTCCTCTCTTTCCAGCAAAACCTCTCTTTTGCCAGGTATCAATGTCTACATCTGAGACCTTCCTGTAGCACAGAAATTCTGCTTCAGGCAGATTTTTACAGAACAAAATTCTGGTAATCCTCTCCTCTGGTAAAGAAAAATACATTTTGTAATGAAATGTTTTCTGGACGTGGCATCTCCAACACCCTTCCCACCTCTTCTCTTTCCCTTCACAGCAGAAGGATGATTCCTAAGTGACACAACAAGATGTGGTTTTTCAAGCAATTTTACAGTTAGTAGTTAAATATGTTTGTGAGATAAGAAGTATTGCTGAAAAGATAACTCCCTCCCCTTCCTTAGCCCAGAGAAAGAGCAACAAAAGCCTTATACAATGCAATTAAAGCCTCTCATAGTATACAGCGGCTGTAGTCTGAAGTTTGAAAGAAGATAAGCCAGGGAAATTTCATGTTAATTATGTAAACAACATTGCTTGTGGGTGATCTTCCCTGCCTGCTGCTGCTACTCTCTTCTGCTTCCCAATATTTGAGCCTTGCCCCTGGTCAAGATGAGGGTGCCCAGGCTGATGTGGGACAGGGCTGCTGAGGTGCTGAGCTAACAGCTGGATAAACCTGATGAGCCTAAAATTTATACTGAATTTAGGTATGCAAGAAGACCAGGAGGTGCACTCATGTCTGGTGCGTGACCACTGGGGGTTTTATGAACCATGAACTCCCTGAAAGGTTTTATACATTCTGCCGAAGGGGAAAGGAGAGGAAGTGTGAATGTTTAGCTCAACAGCAAAAGAAGCTGAATTGGAAAAAACCAAACCAACTACCTGTTATTTGCTGTTACCTAGGTTGGAAGTTTACCCAACAGGTAGCCGATAACTTAGTAACTCCGGGGTGTTACAGGTTTCTGTGATGGCAAACTACTGAGAAAAAATGTGAACTGGCATTTTCCACCCCTGATGTTCTATAGCTCCCTGAAAGAGGAGTTTGCTCATGGATTGCATCTCAAGCTAAAGGCTGGGAAAGTTGGAAAATAGATCATCCACCTATGGAACTTGCTGTTCCTGCCCAGAAATCTGGTGGGGATAAAGTAGGGCTTCTTACTAGCTTTGTGCCAGAGGAGTTTTACTCTGAGGACATATCTAGCAGGAAAATGACATTTTTGTACACCAAATTCTTTGCACTTAAGCTACATTCACTATGATTCTTCCCTAATATGTTTGCAGAGTGAGACTCTGGAAACACTAGCAAAAAATAATATTTTTACAACAGAGCCATCTTAATGGAAGAAGAACACTGATCAAAAATCGTAGATGCATTTATTTTTTTATCTGGTATGAGCAGAACAAAAATAATATTTCAAATGTGTTATATTGAAATCTCATGGGGGAAAACAACAGAAAGTCAGTGATTAATCATGCAATAGCAGGGAAGAAAGCAAGTGTACAGAATCCTTAGGTTTATTTAATTTCATAAGCAGGTTTATATTCTTCTGTGGAACTCTAATTCAAAATTTTTTTGAAGCATCCATATCAAAAGACACTGACCTGGAATAATGTGATTGATAAGATGAAAGAAAGCTCTGAAAGAACTCATATTCTTTCTTTTCAAAAAGATAAGTTTAACATTAGTGTTCTCAATAGAATTACAAGCCAGAAACACAGAGCACATGGGTCTGATTCTGCTGTCTGTCTGATGTTCCTACTCGTACCTGCTTAGAGCAGGTTCCTGTGAGGAACTCCCTTACCATCACATTTTCCTCCTACACTGAGAGTCTGTCTTAAATTAAAGTGTGAGTAAAGCTTACAAAGCCATGAGGAGAAGCAAATACAGTGAGTTTATTATTTAATGCAAATTAAATATCCTAATTCAGAGTCTTAGTGTTACAGCCACAGTGAGACTGAAGTCTACTCGACTAGAGAGGGGGGGTCCTCAGCCCTCACTTGTTCTTTAAAGGCCATCCTCTGCCGTGCTTCCTTAGTGATTTCAGTGCAGCCTCTCCTGTCATTCCCAGAAGAGAGGGGTGATGTAGATGGATCATTCTAGTCCCTGGAGTGCTCAGTCAGACCCTTCAGAAGAAAATCTCTGCGGCATTATGAAAATGATTCCCTTCCCCCATTATGCAGTGACTGAGACAGGTGATGATTCCAGGAGCACATGTCCCTTAGGATCCCTCTCTCTCCTATTAACATGGTTTAGCTGCAGGTGGCACAGCCACTCCCCTTTGAATGCCAGCTCCCAGCAGGCATCTGACATCTTACTGGGATTAAATCCTTTAAAAAGTGTCATTGTTACTAGTTTGGAGGCAGAATTTCACATTTGGACTGTATGCATAACTACATATATTCAATTTGGATTACCTCCTACTGCATCCTTTTAAGCTCTCTCCCAAGAGGTCGTTTAGGACATGGGTGTGATAAAATGATCAAAGAAAAATGCAGCATGCTGAATTTAAACAGAAACTTCTGTAGAAAAGTGTGGAATTTGCCTTATGAGTTACATGCAGAACTGC